GGCAGGTCAGTGAGCTCTCCCCATCTGGGCCGCTGTCTGGCGTGGGGGGAAGCAGGGGCCTCCGGCGGGAGCGCTTGACCCGGCGTGAGGGCATCAGCAGCCTCCGCTTCAGCACAGCTGTGGGCAGGGGGAACCATCAGTGGCATGGAAGCCATTAGGCTGAACTTGGGCAGATAGGCTGGTGGGTGGGAAGCAAAGGTCTCACCAGCTACAGTGTCCTGGCTGTCTGCTGTGGGCCCCCAGTAGATGCTCTCCCCCCGGCGGAAATTTCGATGTAGCCGCGTGCAAAGTGTGGCCAGTGTGAGCAGTACCAGCAGAAAGGTCAGGGCCATGGCAGCCCAGGCAGCCTCGTCCGTGCGTGGGGTGGGGCCCCGGGCTACCCGTGGAGGCACTGCTGCCCGAGGGGCAGGAGAAGCCTGAGTTGGACAGGCACACCCCCCTGAGATGCCTTGGGCTTTGGGTATTTGGCCCTCTGTCCTAATGCTTGTATTGCCTCCTGATTCCCCAGGTGCCAAGGGGACCGATGGCACAGTTGGGGCATTAGCCCCCTCACCCTGAGTTCCCAAAATGGGCTGCTGGGCCTTTAAACTCCATGGGGAGGCAAAAGGAACCCTCAGTCCTGCAGGAGTGGTCTGGAGACCCAGGGCAGCTCGAAGCTCCCGTCTCTTGACACCACTGGAAGAGTGCTGCCGGGGCCCTCTAGGTGGCACCTCTATGCCAGGAGGCCTCCAGCTGCGCAGAGCAAAGGCCAATGCTGAGGCCTAAGGGGAGAAAAGTGAGTGGTCAGTCACTCCTGCCCTGCTCAGATAACCCAGTGATCCTGACACTCTGCAAGAAAGGGCCCAGCATGCCTCACCTGCATACACCGTCTTGGGCACGGCTTCCCTCTGCTGTGGCTTGGCACTGATGGAAAGGGCTGAGCAGAGCTATCAGAGTAGAACCATACTTTCTTTCTCTGCTTCCTCCACTGCCTCTTTAACCAGTAGGCAGCCCAGGCTGGCTCTACCCACGCCATCTCCAGTGCCATCCCCCATGCTGTCAGCACCAGGGGCTATGAAACAAGATGACTTTTAGAGCTAAGATGAAAGTAGGGAGCAAGCAAAAGGAAGCCCCTGAAATTTCCTTTCCCTGCACACAGGGCTGCACCCTTCTGCCATGGCCAGAAACAAAACTGTCTTTCATCAACCACTTACCCTATCCCGCGTGAGGTTGGAGTCAGGGATGAGCAAGGGCTTAACCACACAAACATGGGCCAGGAAGGCAAGCTGGAGCTTCAGCCAGGGATGGGCACAGGGGTGATAGAGGAAGGTGATAGCTTCAGCCTGGAGGAAAGGCAGAGATATCAACACAGGCCCAAATCCCTCCCAGAGAATCGCAAGCTCTCCAATCTTGGGGCCAGTATAAAGTGAATGCCAGCATGGCCACTTTCAGGACACAGGAAAGAGCAAAGGGCCCTGGGTACTGGCCCTTTTGCTTCTGAGCGTTCCCTCTGCAACAAGTCACCCCTCAAAGCTGAGCGTCTGAGCTAACAGAATGCCTAGGCAACCCTGTTAGACCACACTTTATTTCTCTGCCCTTCCAATAATTGGAGTATAGATCTGCAATCTAGACCATAAGCATCCCTCAAATAAAGACCAAGTCGTCTCTATTTATCAATCTCATCTATATAGTCAGTCTCCCAAGAGGATCCAAATATGAGGCACACAGGCAGCAGGTGCACAATTACAAGATGAAACACTTAATCAGTCATTAATTATTCCTTGATCGAATTAACCCAGTGCTCAGCATGCTGGAAGAGATACCAAAAGAGAACTCCTGGGCTCTGCCTACAGAAATGTGTAAGAAACCCAGTAGCTAGGTGCAGTGGTGCATTCCTATAATCCCAGCAATCTGGGAGGTTGAGGCAAGAGGACTGCAAGTTCAAACCCAGCCTCAGCAACTCAGTGACTTAGAATATGTCTCAAAAAACAAAACAAAAACTAAAAAAGGGCTGGGGACATAGCTCAGTGTGAAGGTCCTGGGTTCAATACTACAACTAATACAAATGAAAGGGTGGACCGGGGATTTAGCTCAGTGGTTCCGGTGCCTTCTTTGCAGGCACAAGGACCCAAGTTCCATCCCCGTTACAAAAAAAAAAAAAAAATTAAAAGGGTAAACTAATAAAGCACAAAGTGGTGAGCTGTTAAGTTGTAAGAGGCAGGTTATGAGTACTATAGGAATACAGAGAAGGGAATGAAGACAGGCTGATATGTTTTGTTATGTTAGTGGGGATTGAACTCAGGTCCTTATACTTGCAAGACAGGCAGTGGAACCACTGAGCTAAATCCCCGGCCCTTTTTTGTGGGGGTGATTTTTGAGATGGTCTCACTATGTAGTGAGACTGACCTGGAACTCACTATGTAGCCCAGCCTGGTCTCAAACTCACAGCGATCCTCCTGCCTCAGTCTCCCGAGTGCTGGGATTACAGGTGTGCACTACCACACCCGGCTAGACAAGCTGATATGATCAGACAAGGTTTTAAGGGGAATCACTCCTACAGTGGGCTGTGAAAATGGATGGATTTGCTAAGTATGGTGGCGGATGCCTGTAAACCCAGCACTCAGGAGGCCAGCCTGAGCTACATAGTGAGACCATATCTAAAAAACAAAAACAGGAATTTAGCTCAGTGGCACTGCGCCTGCCTAAAAAAAAAAAAAAAAAAAAAAAAAAAAAAAAAAAAGGGGCTAGGAGGCAGGAGGGCAGGAACTGCATTCTTCAGGTCAGGATAGGCCAGGTGTGGAGAATAAACAAGAGCAAAAGTAGAGCAGTGGGAAGAAGCGCGGCATTCACTCGTGTGGTGAGTAGACCAACACGACTGAGAGGAACTGAAGATGAAAATGAAGTTAATTTATGGCCACAGAAGCGAAGAAGGGAGCGTTGCCCTGATAAAGCAATGAGTTCTGAATAGTGTGCCTCGCCTCTTTCTGCGAGAAATAGTAAGGCAGGGAATTGATGATCAGGAAGGCGTAGAGAGAAAGGATGGACCCTGCTTAAACTTACCTGCCTTGGTCTCACTCCACTGTAGGTCACTTTTGGTAACACCTACACATGGGAAAAGAGGAGTGTTTGGAGCAGCTGGTGCACTGCAAGTGTGGAGTGGAGAGGGGGCACGAGGCCCCAGGATCTAGGCTGGGATGGAGAAGTTTGCAATTGAAGGCAGGAGGAACCAGCAGAGGTCCCCACAGGGTGACTCCGGAGAGTACAGCGAGTCCGTGGCTGGACTGCGCGACTCTTTCGCACTCCTCTCTCCCTCGGCCCTTCTGAGCCCCTACCTGTGGGGGTAGAGGCCACAGACCCTCACGACAACGGGCTCCAGCTCCAGCCTCCTCCGCCAGCTCAGCCACCACCTGTGGGTCCAAGGCGCAGAGCTGGGGTGCTGGCCTCTCAGCCAGGGCCCTACCTTCTCTCTCCCTTCCCAGGCCCGCGGGTTGGGGGTGGAGAGGACTCGAGTCTCCTCTGGGCGCGTCATTCCTTCCAGGACTAACTTTGGATGAAGCGCTTTGAGATCTCGGGCCGAAGCCTTCCCACGAGTGCGGCGCCTTACCTCGCTGGGACCCAGGAGCCCGGCCAGGGCTGCCAGGAGAATCAAGCGGGGTGAAAGCGGAGGAGGCGCCATACCAGCCAGTATCACCGCCCAGCGGCCGAGGGAGCCCGCC